TTTATCATCATATCCTTTTCTCTACTAGTAGTTCTTTATTTTGTTAAAAGCCAGAAAAGAAAGAAATCTCAACAAAGGTTACTAGGACCTTAAGTGGATTTCAACAGAGGAACCCATCACTGTTTACACTCCAAGCAACAGATTTACATAGATTTGATTCAGTCGAAGCACCTGATAGGAGCCACTGCTTTCACAATGCAGATGCCTTGATGAGCACATATAAGACAATCAAAGGAAGTCTCCATATAAACTTCTCCATGCAAGGAAAGATGGTTTTTCCATTTGCCCTTTTCTGAGCACTTTAACTTCCTCGTTACATGTTCCAAATTGTTTCAGAGGCTATGTAAACCATATGTTTCTTAAATGATAGAGACAAATATGGGGAAGTCTGATTAGCATCAGCTTCCCTCAGGAAAGGAGTTTCTTTCCCAACCCTGTTTAGCCTGCTCCACACTTATTAGACATGCGTAAGTAAGCAGAGGTGGGAAATGGGCTTTAAATAGGTGCACCTAGCTATAGAGGGTCCTCTCCTCTTTCTACTGAACACACGTTTTAACCGTCACTCTCTATTAAGAAGATAGTAGGTATTGGCTGACAGTAAGAACGAATTTCATTGAGTTTATCAGTAATCATTCAAATCTTCATGAGATAAAGTGTGTAAGTGTGTATGTGCATGTGTGAGAACATCAAGAGCTAGCAAGCAAGAGTGAGATGCTTTTCAATTTTTGTTCTTTTTTTCAGTTCTTTTCTTTCTTCTTCTTCTTCTTTTTTTTTTTTTCTTGAGACAGAGTCTCGCTTTGTTGCCAGGCTGCTGGAGAGCAGTGGCTCCATCTCAGCTCACTGCAACCTTCACCCACCGGGTTCAAGCAATTCTCCTGCCTCAGCCTCCCAAGTAACTGGGGCTACAGGTTCACACCACCACGCCCGGCTAATTTTTGTATTTTTAGTAGAGATGGAGTTTCACCATGTTGTCAGGGTGGTCTCAATCTCTTGACCTTAAAGTGCTGGGATTACAGGCACAAGCCACTGCTCCCAGCCTCGGTTTTTTTTTTTTTCTTTCAGTTTTTGTCCCACTGGGTTTGAATTAGGTATCCAATAAAGATAAATCTTTTACTTCACTACTATTAAATGGAATTGTTTCTTTTTTTATTAGAGCCCCTAAAAGAGCAGTAAAGGTATAAACACCTACATTATTTATTACGTAATACAGAAGTTTGCTGGCCTAGATCAAATAACAGTATTGGATATTGGATGATTGGTAGTAAATCACTTTTAAAACAAACAAACAAACAAAAAGGGCCGGGCACCGTGGCTCGCGCCTGGAATCCCAGCACTTTGGGAGGCCGAGGTGTGCGAATCACAAGGTCAGGAGTTAGAGACTAGCCTGGCCAACATGGTGAAGCCCCCTCTCTACTAAAAATACACAAAATTTGTTGGACGTAGTGGCAAGCGCCTGTAATCCCAGCTACTTGTGAGGCTGAGGCAGGAGAATCGCTTAAACCCATGAGGCAGAGGTAGCAATGAGCCAAGATCACACCACTGCACTCCAGCCCTGGCTACAGGGTGAGACTCCCATCTCAAAAAACAAAACAAAAAAGGCCAACATGTTTCCTGCATTTTATATTGGACTTAGAAGTCCAGTGGACCAAAATCCTTGTTCAGGTGTATTTAATGACACACTTATGCAGATGTGTGGAAATAAATACTTGAGGTGAAATCATATAGCTATGATTAGAGCCGCCAGTTTATCATTCAAACTGGACATTTGAGAGGACTGTAGGCATAAACTGAGCCCAGCAGCCACCCTGGCTCTTAATCAGTGACATTGTAGTTGTCATTGCTTAAGAGAACAACTAATAAACATTTAAAAACATCTACTTCTGTCTTTATCCCCAAAAGACAAAAATTTAAAGCATTGATGGCTCTTGAATGAGAAAACAAAACTGGGTGGACACAGTGGCTCATGCCTGTAATCCCAGCACTTTGGGAGGTCAATCACTTGAGGTTAGGAGTTTCAGACCAGCCTGGCCAACATGGTGAAACCCTGTCTCTACTAAAAATACAAAAATTAGCCACATGAGGTGGCACATGCCTGTAATCCCAGCTACATGGAGGCTGAGGCAGGAGAATTGCTTAAACCTGGGTGGAGGTTGCATTGAGCCGAGAGTGCACCACTGCACTTCAGCCTGGCAACAGAGTGAGACTCCATCTCAAAAAAACAAAACAAAAAAACCTTAAGTAGTTTATTCATATTAGCTTATATTCATTTTCTGTAAACCCTCGGTCTTGAATTCTATTGGAATGACTTGATAGGTGAAACCACTTTATGTTGACAACTTTTTGGAACTTGAGTCATCTCAAATGATGACTTTTTAGCATATACATTTCTTTGACTTCTATTTCTTTCGAAATACCTACGATACCTATGCACATGTCATTGTTTAGGGCCTTACCCCACGTTCACAATATTAAGTTGCTTCCATTTCTGTTTCTGAAGCGGAATTGTTTTTAAGTGGAAACAGGTGCCTTTGACTAACAGGTTATCTTTTTTAACTTGTAAATTGGACCAAAAGAGTAATCAGAAGAGGCAGAGAGAAAATGGTAACAAGGAAGCCTCAGTTCATCTTTTTCTCTTGTTTTTGATGCTGTTGCTGTTGAGGTTTTGTTATGTTTGCCGCTTTACCTGGTTTTGGGGTTTTATACTGAGTTCTGCGCTGTTAAATGCATGTCTGATATAATATCTATACAACATTATAAACTTGCTCTATGCTGCTAAAAATTGACTGCTTTGTTTCTATAAACCTATTCTTTTAAGAAATAACCATATTTGTTTGTAAAGTGTATTATTCAGCTTCCTCTTTGTAAACATCACATCTGCTTTGATAAGTCTTATTTTGGATGTAACAAATATTTGACATATCCAGGTGTGGGTGTGCTGGTCTGTAGGCAATCTCAGGAGAGTTTTGGAGATAATCATGCCACACAAACTTTTAGTTAATACAGATTACTATCCTAGGAACAATTAGGCTTGATCAGAAGGCAGTATTTTGCTTTTATAGATAACTGCATTTACTGTTTTTTGAGGGGAGAATTTATCAAACTAAATTTTAGAAAAGATTACAGTTTTTCAAGGAACATTACAAAGGAGTGGTTGACAGATATCCACTGCTGAGTAAAATTAATTCCAAGAAATCTTGAGCAAAGTGTCCTGTTTTGAAATTCCTAGTGTACTTGATTAGGTACAAGTATTTTTCTTTTCTCTAAGCTCCCCTGACTTCATGCATTTGCATTCATTATTAAATGAGGTAATTATTTCATGTTCCTAGAGTATATTAGAATTTATTGCATATTCATCCACTATGTGACAATTATTTATTGAGTGCTCCCATGTTTAGCTGCAAGGGTGCGGGTGCAGAATGGAGGAAAAGCTGTATATAACCAGGTTTGGGATTTGCTAGGCAAGTACTATCAAGGAGATAAACATGTATGCAAGACATAATTATAACTAAGTGCCAAGAAATCCAAGCTAGGTAATTTAATATGCAGGAACAAGAGGATATGAGGGAATTAAGGATGGCAGGGAAAGGTTGTAGGGTCAGTGGGTTGCAAGAACTGGTGGGTTAAATAATGGTTGGTGTTGAGGACTAGAGGAGGTGAGTTGGAAAGAAAGGCTGTGCTGGTTAGAGAGTGGTGTGTTTGATACTGGCATTACAGAGAGGTTGTAGTTGATGGTGATGACAAGGACTAAGGTACAACCATGGATTTGTGGGTGAAGTAGAGTAGAAAACAAGATCATGGGAGGAGAATAAGTCAGAGAATTGAGGGCACAGGGTAATGGAAAGATCCTTTACATGGGAATTCAAGAAGAAAGTAGTGTTGGGGACTTGATGTAGATGATGAGAGAGAGAGAGAGAGAGAATGAGAGAGAGAGAGAGAGAGAGAGTGTGTGTGTGTGTGTGTGTGTGTGTGTGTTTGTTTGTCTATGAAGAAGTGTTGTGGACAGAGAGCCAGCAATAAAACTCAAGGGGGAGGATTGGGAATGATCCAGAGGTCTATAGATGACTATGGTTATGAGTTAGAGACTGATGGCATGAGCTTCAAAGCTGATGTTTTTTCGGGAGGAGGAAGTGATGATTGTATAGAAGCAAGAATAAAAAGCAGGCAGGCAGAGAGCTCTCAGGAGATGCCTTGTCCTGTAGGGAGAGCCAAGTTTCTTTTAAGGCAAGAATGTGAAGGGAAGGTTCAGGGATGGGGCCAAGTATTTAGAAGACTTTACTGCATTCCCTAAATGAGGAAATTGCATTCCCAGAGGGCATGGTGGAAGGTGTTCAGGATCAGCTGAGGAGTGGAAAAAGGTGGAGTGTAGGAGAATGAAGGATATTGGAGTGGGGGGGGGGTCCTGAGTCTAAGTGGGAATAGAGAGTGTGTTGGGATTAGTCCTGGTGGTTTCTGAAACAGGTGGTGAGGCTCTGGGTGTGGGACAGAAGAATGGGTTGGGTGTCTTGCCAGAAACAAGCAGACCTCTGGGGCTCTTCTCTCCAATGCATGATCATTTGGAGATGGGTGTTTTAGGGGTAAGGTCTTGTTACCCAGAGCATGAGTAGATTTGGGGCTTATTTTGCAAATGGAGATGTGGAAGCTGGGGAGGTATACCAGCTACAACATTACCAAGATGGATGCAAGGATCACATAACAGTTCCAGGATGATGTCAAATGAAACCCAGAGGGTTTTATTTTTTATTTATTTTTTATTTCTTTTATACTTGAAATGCAATTTAGTATTTACATACATAAAAATAGTAATTAGGTTTAATTGGAGGGGGTTACATTGAATCATAATCAGTAGATAGAATTCCAATTCATATTTTAAAATAAGTCATTCTCTCCCTCTCCTTCATGCCTACTCTTTGCCATTTCCACCAAAATGTGCCTTGAAAACTGACAGTGTCACAGTCTTATCTGCTGAATAATTGACATGTTCTTTTCCCTTTCCTTTATAGTGAAGAAAGTTACAACGTCAATGATTATTCCTTAAGAGATCAGCTATTGGTAGAATCTTGTGACAATGAAGAGCTTAATTCTTCTCCAGGAAAGAACAGCTCCACAATGCTTTATTCAAGACAGAGCTCTGCCAGTCACCTCTTTACTCTGACAGTTCTTAGTAACCATGCGAATGAGAAAGTGGAAATGCTGCTAGGAGCTGAGACCCAGTAAGTATATGTGGGAAAAGGATCCGAAATATCTGGTAGTATCTCCCTGACCTGATTTCCTTTGGTTTACAGACTCCCTAAAACAGCAGCTACTTTTCATGTTTTTGTTGAGCACCTACTATTTGCTAAGCATGACCACTGGGTGCTTTTTTACACTGGGTGCTTTTTTTATTCTGCTCTTTTCATTATAATCTTCTTACAGGAGATGAATGTTGTTATTTTTGTCCCTATAACTCCTGATAGGCTGGGCATGGTGGCTCACACCTATAATCCTAGCACTTTGGGAGGCTGAGGCGGGTGGATCACCTGAGGTTGGGAATTTGAGACCAGCATGATCAACATGGAGAAACCCTGATCTCTACTAAAAATAAATTAGCTGGGTGAGGTGGCACATACCTGTAATCCCAACTACTTGTGAGGCTGAGGTAGGAGAATCGATTGAACTTGGGAGGTGGAGATTGTGGTGAGCCAAGACGTCGCTATTGCACTCCAGCCTAGGCAACAAGAGTGAAACTGTGTCTAAAAAAATAATAAAAAAAAAAAAGTCCTGATAGATACACTGTGCTTTAGATGATGTTTTTATTTTTATAGAGTGGTTCAAGAATAATTTTACCTTTTTCGTTCACAAAAAGATGACACACTATCCTTGGGGAATATGACTCAACTGGTAGCTTGAGTCTAGGCCATAAGCCTTCTTAGGTAATGGAATTGAGATCATTTCTCACTCACCTGCCTTCAACCAGAAAGCAGAAAGCCCAATGATTTCTGTCAAAAGAGCTACTCAGTTTACAAAAATATGCCAGTAAATCCTCTTTCTTTTTTTTTTTTTTGAGACGGAGTTTCGCTCTTGTTACCCAGGCTGGAGTGCAATGGTGCGATCTCGGCTCACCGCAACCTCTGCCTCCTGGGTTCAGGCAATTCTCCTGCCTCAGCCTCCTGAGTGGCTGGGATTACAGGCACGCGCCACCATGCCCAGCTGATTTTTTTTTGTAGTTTTAGTAGAGACGGGGTTTCACCGTGTTCACCAGGATGGTCTCGATCTCTTGACCTCGTGATCCACCCGCCTCGGCCTCCCAAAGTGCTGGGATTACAGGCGTGAGCCACCGCGCCCGGCCAGTAAATCCTCTTTCTAATCCAGAGTTTATACAAGAGCAAGACAGGCATCCTGTTTGTGCCTGCAGTTTCTCCAGTGGTTAGGATGCAGTTAGTTCTCATGTTGGATGAGCTGGGGTGGGTTTAACTTTCAAGTCCACCTCAGTGATTATTTTTGGTCCACTTAGGGATTGTTGACCAATTTATTTGTTTGGAAATGAGAAACTTCCGTTTGCAATAATCATCAATATTCTGTTGGGTCAGAGAGTGGAACAGTGGAGGGAAAGGAGAAATTCCCCAATTCTTTGTCCTCTCAAATTCCTGCCTTCCACTCCATCTCTGCCAAGGTTCCTAAATGGTGTGGTTAAAATGGATCAGCAGCTGGTGAATAACAACCCTAAAACTGTAGCAAGATCTTAGAGAAAGTGATCCCAAAGAGATATCTTTAAGAGTGATTATAGAGCCGGGCATGGTGACCCATGACTCTAATCCCAGTACTGTGGGAGGCCGAGGCAGGTGGATTACCTGAGGTCCGGAGTTCGAGATCAGCCAGACCAGTATGGAGAAACCCTTACTAGAAATACAAAATTAGTCAGGCATGGTGGTACATGCCTGTAATCCCAGCTACTCGGGAGGCTGAGGAAGGAGAATCGCTTGAACCTTGGAAGTGGAGGTTGCCGTGTAGCCGAGATCAAGCCATTGCACTCCAGCCTGGGCAACAAGAGTGAAACTCCGCCTCAAAAAAAAAAAAAAAAAAAAAAAAAAAAAAAAAGTGATTTTAACAGTGTTCCTAGATGAATAAAGGGAATATTAAAGAAAAATTATTCAAAGACACTTGCTAAAGCACACTAAGGCAGCCTTTATTCAAGACCATCCTAATAGGTTCAAGGACCATCGCAACAAGATCTTGCAGTGCAGGAGAGAGATTGAACTGAGCTCTGAATACAGCATGGTCAAGTGGGAATTTATAGCCATGGAGCAGGTTGGAGGTCCATGGGTGGAAAATTACTAAGAGGAAATATCAGGGTTAAGGGAGATTCTGGCTAAACTAACCGAACAGGATTCTTGCTGACGACAGGCCAGGGTGATTAGACATCATAACCTGTGGGATGATGGAGAATAATGAATCTTATCAGATATTGAGGATGGGGTGGGGGATATTCTTGCAAAACTGAGTTAGTAGAGTTCTTTGCTAAAACTGGATTTTATGAAGAACTGTACAGATGAGCCTGGGAGAAGGTACAGAAGTCTAACTAAAGTTTGGCCAAGCAAAGAATCTTTATCAAGAGACTTAAAAAAATGTGAAAATTACAAGGCATCCACATAAAATGTCAAAATTTTTAACATCTTTTGGCCCTAGAAGTAACATTTCACAGGCTGGAGAACACCAAGGACAGGTTGGTGAAAGCTATAGAATATTCCAAGTGAACTGGAGAGTTCACCAAGGTATTGAAAAAATGAATATATTTCATAAGGCTACAGCTACCATAGATAGTGATTCCTCTGATGGATCTTGGCAAAGTAAATTAAAAGCCTTCTGGAAAAGATTCATCTTGTAGATTTCATCAAAAACATTCATAATTCCTGGGAGGAGATCAACATACCAATATGAACAGGAGTTGGGAAAAGTCGATTCCAACTCTCATGGATGACTTTGAGGGGTTCAAGACTTCAGGAGGAAGCAACCGCAGATGCAATGGAAATAGCGAGAGAACTAGGTTTAGAAGAGAACCCTGAAGATGCAACTGAATTGCTGCAATCTCATAATAAAACTTGAACGAATGAGGATTTGCTTCTTCAGGTTGAGCAAAGAAAGTGAAGATGCCACGAACATCATTGAAATGACAGCAAAGGATTTAGAATATTACGTAAGCTGAACTGATAAACCAGTGGCAAAGTTTGAGGATTGTCTCCAATGTTGCAAGAAGTTCTGCAGAGGGTAAAATACTATCAAACAGCATTGCATGCTATACAGAAATCTTTCAGGAATGAAAGAGTCAATTGATGTAGCAAACTTCATTGTCATCTTAATTTAAGAAACTACCACAGCGACCCAAACCTTCAGCAACCATCACCCTAGTTAGCAACCATAAAAAAAAAAAAAAAAAAAAAGGGAGCTTCATCCTCATGTGTTTGTTTACAAAGCAAAAAAATGCCTTTATCTGAGGTCCCAGAGTTCTTCCACTGAAGGTGCTGAAAAGCGCTGATGGCATTCCAAGCATGCCCCTCTGTGTTTGTGGCTCAGGGGAGGTGAGCTTGGGTGAGAGTGTGCTTGCTGCTCTGTGAGGTGACCAACAAATGATACACCCAAGACCAGGGCCAAGGGGATGCATTGCTTGAACTCCAAAAGTGGTTTAAACCCCTTCACCAGTGAGGACAAACCTAGACTTTCTTTGTGTGGGGAAACATCTCTTAAAAACAGAATTTTTAGTATGCTTGTGCTTTGGATATTATATGACTTTAAGGACGAGAACAGCTTAAACACTTGGGAGATTAGTACTTTTCCAGTGTTACAGAGAATTCTCAGAAACTAGAGACTTCCCTTTCCCCATATCATTAGTAATGGTGAAAGTGTTGCTGGTTTTGCCTTGTGTTTTCCTTTTCTTCCAGTTTACAAGGATTGTTTGTTTTCTTTATTCAGGCTTGCCAACATCTCAACAGAGATTTTCCTGACTGCCTCATTCATAATTTATGTAATCTCCACCACTCGTTTCTGAGATTATTCCAAGAGAGTAGGAGGTGAACTGACATGTTCAGTTTATTTCACGCCAAGGCTAGATCCTTTCCTGGGACATTCTGTAGCATTTGTTCCATCTTTTTGCCTTTCACTCTTGCCAAAGACTGAATAGTTGTTCATTTCCTCAATCAGACATGTTCTCAGAATATTTAGTCATGTCACTTGTAAACCCGTGGGTCTGACTCATATTTGTAGTTCTTTAATTAATTGCATGAGGACATTCCAGAAGTGGCATGGAACAGAGGTCTCCCTGGGTACAGAAGGAGTGACTCTCTCATTCTCTTTGCCCTCACCCTCAATTACAGTTGAGAAGTAAATAAATGGACATGCTTGCTTGCTTTTTTTTTTTTTTTTTTTTTTTTTTTGAGACCGGTTTAACTCTTGTTGCCCAGGCTGGAGTGCAATGGTGTGATCTTGGCTCACCACAATCTCTGCCTCCCAATTTGAAGTGATTCTCCTTCCTCAGCCTCCTGAGTAGCTGGGATTACAGGCATGTACCACCATGCCCGGCTAATTTTCTATTTTTAGTAGAGGCAAGTTTTCTCCATGTTGGTCAGGCTGGTCTCGAACTCCCGACCTCAAGTGATCCGCCCACCTTGGCCTCCCAAAGTGCTGGGACTACAGGTGTGAGCCACTGCTCCCGGCCCCAGACATGCTTTCATTGGTGTTGAAAAAATAGCAACCAAACACTCAACTTTCCTTAAAAAAAAAAAAAAAGGCTATTTAAAAACCTGGCAAATTGTTACGTGCCATATTTGGAAATATAGCTCTGGGCTTCCTAGTTTTGAGCAGTTAGAGTTTTGATCTGCATAGAATTTGCTTCCAAGATTCGTGAAAGGCATCAATAAGTATATGTTGTTTAGGTTTTCTTTTCTCTCTTATTTGATTAATATGGCTCATTAATCAAGAAAAACAAGGTTTTCACTACTACTCTGGCCTTAAGTCATTGAAGAACTTAAGACCAGTCAGGTAGATATTTTCACTACTTACTCTTTGACCTGTAGAATAATGAATTTTACACCTGATTATTTACCTCCTTTGAAAAACTAGAGGCCACCTGAGGATATTTGACATGTAAAATCAGCAGTAGGAGGGGTGCAGCTGTTTGGCACAAGAACAATTTAACTTCATAAGACAGTAAAATTGTGGAAGAAAAATCAGTGGCTTTGAT